CAGATTCCTATAAACATAGGAACTAAACACATTTTAAAAAAATATACTTTATTGATTTCTTTCGAGAATCAGAAACACCCAAAGAGAGAAAAACATCAGTCAGCTGCCTCCCACAAACTCCCCACTGGGAATGTGCCGGTGAGAAGGTACATGCCCTTGACCGGAATTGAGCCTGGGACCCTTCCAGTTCACAGGCAGATGTTCTATCCACCAAGCCAAACCAGTCTCGGCTAAATACATTTCTTAGATTAGGTGGTGATAAATGTCATGGAAAAAGTTGAGCAAGATGAGGAGGATGGTGGAATGGGAGGTGGGTGTGGGTTACAGTAAGAGTAGTCAGGGACCTCTCACTGAGGAGACATTTGAGCAGACCTGAAAGTTGGGATTGAGCATATGAATACCCAGAGGAGTATTCCAGGCGGAGGGTACAGACAGCACAAAGGCCCCGTGGCTGAAGCATGTCAAATATACTACTTTTTGGTGGAGCAGCTAAGAAGTCATGTGGTACCGAAACTGTTTTGGCTCAGTGGATGGAGTGTTGGCCTGCAGACTGAAAGGTCCCAGGTTTGATTCCGGTCAAGGGCAGGTACCTTGGTTGCGGGTGCATCCCCAGTGGGGGGTGTGCAAGAGGCGGCTGATCAATGATTTTCTCTCATCAATGTTTCTAACTCCCTATCCCTCTCTTCCTCTTTGTAAAAAAAAATAAAAAAATTATATATATATATATATATATATATATATATATATATATATATATAGCCATGTGGCTGTTGCAAGACTGACCAAAGATAGAATCAGCCCATGGAAGCAGGTTAAGAACTTAGTACTTTGGCTTTTATGTGATCTGACTCAGGTGTCATGACAGGTTCCCTGGTAGGGGCAGTAGAGAGAGACTGAGGGCAGAGGTCTGAGGCAGGGACTGGGGAGGGGCTGCAGGGACAGTTCGGGTGGGAGATGGTGCTGGATAGAACCAGGGTGAGAACAGAAGAAGAGCCAGGAGGATGGATTGTAGGTTTAGGTGAATTAAAGAAGATTGCTGTTGGACTGGGATGTGGGTTCGAGAGAGGGGTCAAGGGGATGCCGAGGTGTTTGGTGCTGGTAGTTGGTGCCTGAGTAGTGAGGATATTTTTAGAGCAAGTGGGGGGTGGGGGAGAGGAGAGAAACACCAATTGGCCATTTCCCACATGCACCCCCAACGAGGACTGGGATTGGACCTGCAACCCAGGTACTTGCCCTTGACTGAACCTATCCTGGATCATCCAGTGTGCAGGCCGACACCCTAACCACTGAGCATACCAGCCAGGGATAGGTGCCATTTTCTTAAATGATTTCTTTTTTGAGAAGGGACAGAACTAAGCAGATATGTTTCTTAGTCTTTCAGTGTCTGTAAATGTCTTTGCAAACCTTGCTCTTCCTCTCTGCCTCCCCTATGTCTTTAGGTTTCTGGCTTTCTATCTTTCCCAACCCCCCCACCCCCCCCTTTTTTTTTTTTTTTTTTGCGAGAGGAGAGAGAGAAAAACATATATGTGAGAGAAGCATCCATCAGTCGCCTCCTCTGTATAACCCGACTGGGTATTGAACCTGCAGCTTGGGTATAACCTGACGGGGCATGGAACCAGGGATCTTTCCGTGCATAGGGAGTGTGAAAAAAAAGAGCCACATGCTAACCTGACAAGCTCAGGGGAGGCCTGCGTCTTGCAAATTTAGAGATCTAAAATAACCACAAAAGATGGTTTGAAAATTAAATATCTAACTACAAACAGGTTAAAGTGGGTAGTCATGTTCTAGGCCTATATTTTCCCAAAGATCAACTTCGATCTTTTTACTGAGCCCATTTGCCGTCTTTTTCCTCTAAAGATAACATATCTGTGAGATGTCTCCGTAACTTGTAACTTCCCTTTTTCCGGAGCCCCTGGGGCACAACCAAATGTGGTGGGCGCCAGGACAGATGCCTCAAATTCCTTTGTTATAATGTTAATTGTTCCTGCGCGCACCTGAGTAGCGTCCATCATTTTACTTTTTATCCAATCCCAGGAGTTTCTCACCGCTTTGCTTTCTCCTGCCTCCTTACACCATCACCAATGAATTTCATGTAACCCACCTATGTCCCTCCTTTGATTTTGGTGTATAAATAGAGAAATGTAACCCGCCATTCTTAGGAGCATTATCTCAATGCGTTGAGGTTCTGCTTCCCAGCATATGTCGAAAGTTTGGCTCAAATAAACTCACAAAAATTCTTTACAGGTTTCAATGTTTGTTTGTTTTTCGTTAACAGGAGGATGAGGATGCTCAAGCAACACTTAAAAACATTAAAAAAAATTATTTCAAAGAGGAAGGGAGGAGAGGGAGAGGGAGAATGCTTTTTTAATGTATGGGGGCCAGAGCCCTTTCCCATAACAGTGTCCAGGAAGAGAAGATCAAAGGTCAGAGCCTGTGTTTGGGGAAGGGAAGAGGCCAAGGGAGGGGAGGGATGGGATGGCCAGGAAGCATGGGGAGGGGAGGGGAGGAGTTGGAGGAGAAGAGGAGAGGAAGAATACCATACTTGGGGGGGGGGGGGGGGCGGTGGAGCCGAGGAGAGCAGGGAGCGGGGAGAGTGGAGAGGGTAGAGAGAAAGGAGAGGAGAGGAACTTGAAGGGGAAAAAAGAGGGGGTAAGGGAGAAGAGCTTGGAGCTGGAAGGAAAGGGTAGATTAAAGGAGAAAGTCAGGGAGAGGAGAGTTGAGAGGGTGAGGGAAGACTCGAGGCTCTAGGAGGGGAAGCGGACTTGGTGGGTTAGGAGAGGAGGGACTGAGAGGGGAGGAAGGGGAGCGGGTGGGGAGGAGAGAAAGGGAAGTGGAGGGGGTGGGGAGGCCGCGGAGGGGGGTCGGGAGGGCGGCCGCGGCGGAAGGGGGGGCGGGGCGCTGACGCGAAGCGCCTTCCGGGCGCCCCGCCGCGGGGTGGGTGCCGCGGCCTCTCGCCTTGTATGGGCCGGCGTGGTCCGAGGTGCCGGCCGCGCACGTGACCCCGCACCCCGCACCCGCCGGCGCTTCCCGCCGGAGCCCCAACTCCTCCGCCCCCGGGCGAGGCGCGGAGCCCCGAAGCTCTGGGTCCCGGGAGCCAGAGGCCGGGCCGCCGTCTGTGCGGGCGCCGAGCCGCCAGGCCGAGTTCTGAGGCCGGAGACTGCCTGAGAGACTCCTCAGTGTGTCCACATAAGAAACGTCCAACCTGTAAGAGTTTTTAACAAGTATTTTTATTCCTGATAGTATTAGTATCACAGATATCACTCCAGGCCCTCCCCGCCCTGTGGCCCGTGGGCTGTACACAGGAGCATATAAATCCTTCTGTTTATCTTCCCCCCAACCCCACGTGGAGGTGTCAGGCTGGTCCCTGCGTCCTGGCTCCGGGTCTCATTTTGTTGGTCATTTCTCTTTGTTCTTCGGAGTCCACAAACATGTGAGATCATGTGATATTTGTCTCTCTCAGTTTGGCTTATTTCACTGAACCTGTAAGAATTCTTTATTTGAGCCAAACTGACAACTGCTGGGAAGGAAAATCTCAACCGACTGAGAAAACGCTCCGGAGAACGGCAGGTTTGCATCTTATACATTAAATCAGAGGCGGGGAGGAAGGTGGGAGCGGCCGGGAGAGGTCAAAGGGGGGAAAAGGAAACATATGTAATACTTTAAACAATAAGGAACTCAAAGTAAAAAAAAAAAAAAGGAGGCCCGAGCCAGTTTGGCTCGGTGGAGGGAGCGTAGGCCTATCCTAATTTCGGACCATCCCATGTGGTTTCTTTAGGTCTTGAGTTGCAGGCCTCCCCTGAGCTGTCAGATTCCGATTTGGCCCCTTCTCATCCACAGGGGATTCTGGAGGCCTGAGGTTAATGCTGCCTCCCACACGGTCGCCGGAGTCCGAGTCCCCAGCAAGCTTGGTGGTGGACCCCCAGACGTCAGAGCCCCCCCGCGCCCGCCCCGCCCGCCCGCCCCGGCACATTCCGTTCCCCAGCGCGGCCCCACCCTCCGGCCGCCAGCCTGGACGGAAGCGGCCCTCCGCCCGCCCGCGGGGAGCCGGTCAAAGAGCCGGGCCGAGGGCAGCGCCGCGTCCCCCACGCCCCGGGAACTGGCTCTCCCGGTTCCAGTCGGTGACCTCACCTGGCCCCGCCCTCTCAGGTGGATTGCTGGCCCAGGTGACCTCACTTCCTGCCAGGTAAGAACGAAGGGCGGTTCTGCTCAGCAAAGGTGCGGAGGGACTAGGGACGGACTCTCCCCGATTCGAAACGGAGCCACACCATCCTCCCCACTCCTCACCGCCTCTAGCCCGCAGAAGAACCAGGACTGGATTTTACACACAGATGACTTTTATTTAAAAATTCCAAAAGACACAAAAATAAACTTTAACAATATATATTACTTAATATATTATAGCATACATAATTATTATTCCATTGTTTCCATTACAAAAAAAGAGGAAGAAAAATATAAGGGAAGCAGACGACCCAATATATATAAATACTATAAAATCTATTAGAATAAATAAAGTCGTCATAAATAAAGAGCCCAATGGCTGGGGAGAGGGGGTTGGCAATGACTTTGGCTACTTGCTTTTGGAGGGAAATTTGAGCACCAGGATTGACCCTCAAGGGGAAGGCTCCAATCACCACCAGTCACACCAGAACCTCAGAGGTCTAGGAAAAATGGGGAGGGGGCAGTAGGGGCCTATTATTCACAGCATTGGGAAGGGGAGGTGGGGACGAGAGAGCTCACTGCTACCCTCAAATTTGCTACATCTTAAAAAAAAATTAAAGGACTCCAGAATACACTCCCTCCAACACCAGGAACATGAGCTTGCCCACTGGGGACCTGCCCCAGAACAGGGTCAGGGGAGTAGATTAATGCACTTGGAAGGCAGTGAGGCTACTTGATTGAGTTCCCCAGTTCCCCACAGCCCCAGGGCTTCTGTGGAGCCCACAGCAGAGAAATGGCCCCTCTTGAGATCCAGCTGATCTGTACTGGGCAGGCCCTTGTCACTCAGACACTGAGATTCGATTGAAGATGGGGAGTCGCCGAGGGGCTATCGGTTGGGGTGGCCCAAAAACCCCAGCCTCGAAGACAGGTGAGTCAGACCCTCCCAGGCTGCTGCCGCTGCTGGCATAATCCTCAGGATCAGATCCCAGAGAATGTGCAGAGGGGCTCCGCACCAGGCCACCCACAGGTCCCCAAAGGCTGCTAGGGGTGGCCCTTCGGCAGGAGGGACAACAGGTTGGGGTGGGATCCCTTAGGGCCACTGGAGTCCCGGGGGCAGCAGAGAAGGCAGAGGGGGAAAGGGGAAGGTCTCCGGGGGGTGGAGGCGGGGAGCTGGAGGGCGAGAAGGAGCAGGAGGACAGGGAAGGGCCTGCCAGGCCAGCTGGTGGTGGGGAGGATCTCCGGCCGGAGGGCAGGCCCGAGAAGCTGATGCTCTGTCGCAGCACAGGAGGGTGGCCGGGCGAGTCCAGGTCTTCGCTGTGGATGAAGTGGCAGCGGGAGCCGTAGGGGCAGCGGCCCTGGAGGTAGAACTTGTGGCAGAGTTCCGTCTTGTACTTGGGGTGGCGGCTGGCTTGGCGCAACTCGCCCAGGCCGTGGGCAAACTGGCACTTAGCCCCGTAGCGGCAGCGCCCACTCTCCGAGAAGGTTCGACACAGCTCAGTCTTGTATCGGTTGGAAGTAGGTGAGGGAGACAGCTCAGTGCCTGGGCGGGGAGCCAGGGGTGCGAAGCCTGGGGGTGGGGGCACCCACCCACTGCTTCGACCCTCTACCAGGCTGGTGGAACGGCCAGGCGGGCGGGCAGCGATCCCGGCGGGACTGGAGTCTGATGAGCTGAGGTTCCAGAGTCCAGAGGCCCAGCCCAGGCTGGACTCAGTATCTCCTTGGTTGGATGGCTGGCCAGAGCTCAGCGACAGGAGGCTCTGTGGGAACAAGGATCGGTTATAACACTGAAAACACAAGTGGCGCCCCTCCCCAGCTGCCCGGCACCCCAGAGCCTGCCAGGCCAGTTTGTGGGTTGCTGGCCGAGCCCCACCCGCCCATAGAAACCCAGGGGTTTGGGAATCCCAAATTAGAAGTTCTGAGTTTTTTCCGAACAGAAGCCTATCTCGAGGGACCGGGGAATCCGGCTCCCTCGCTCGGGGCTCACCACTGGTCACCAATTTTGAGCCCCTGGGTCTCTGCACTTCGTGTCCTCCAGTTTCACAACTGGCAGAACCAGCAAAGGTAACCCAGGAGTCTGTTCTCTTCGGTTTTGGACTCCCAGAGTCCTATGGCTCATCAGTCTTTTTCACCCCAAGATACCAGCCTCCAAAAACGGCTCAGCGTAAAACCGCACCCTAAGAAACTACTTGGGGGAAGCCAGGTGTGGGGCCATTTCCGCCTCTAGACACTCGTCGCTCGAGAAAACTCCTCCAGCTTTCCATCTCCAAGGGACACCCTACCCATGTTTGGGACGAGACCGAAAGTCGCAGGCTCCATTTTTCACCTCCAGGGACTCACACCGAGAGGGGAGGCAGGACCCCGGCGGCGCTAAGGAGTCCAGTTTGAGCAGAGCCAGGGGTCCCGGGCCGGGGTTTGCGATACCAGAGCGCCCTCGTTTGAGAAGGGAGTCAGCTGGGCACGGGGACCCCGCGGTGCCGGTCGGCGGGGACTCACCTCGCAGAGGGCGCTGAGATCCATGGCGACGCAGGAGGCAGGTCTCCGGGGAGCCCGGGGGAAGTGGGAGCGCTGGAGCCGAGCTGCGGCGGGGCGGCGGAGCGCGGTTTTATAGACACCGGGGCGGGGCGGGGCGGGGCGGGGCCAGGAGGGCGCTTCCCGGACGCGCACCCCCAGCGCCGCCCGCCCGGCCGGTCCTCTTCCGCCCCGCCCCCGGCCGGGACCCGGGAGCCGGGCACACCAGCGGCCTCGACCCGGGGGGAGTGCGTGGGATGGGGGTGTCGCCAGTTCTCAAGGTTGGAGACTGAGGGTCCGGGAAGGGAACTGGGACGGAGGTGGGGGCCGGGATCTCGGGGAAATTGACAAGAGGCGAGGCCGGGGCAGTGGGCGTGCGCGTGGGAGAGACTGACGCCGGAGGGGAGAGGCGCGGAGGGCCAGAGACCAAGAAATGGAGAAACAGAAGACACAGAGGGAGGGGGGACACACACACTCAAGGAGGTATACCAAGAGGGGAAAAGCAGGGAAAGGAGAGGTGGGGAGACAGGCAGAAAAGGCACGAAGGGACAGTCCGGGGGACAGAGTGAAAAGCTAGAAGGGAAGTCAAATAAGAAGAGGGAGGAAATAAAAGGGAGAAACGACCCACAAGACAAAAATCTGCAGGAGCAAAACGGAGAAGAGACCAAGGCCTGGCAGAGAATTCTCTTGTGAGACCCACCCGCCTGCCTTGTTTTCACCCTCAAACAGCCCAGATCCCCGGCCCTGGCCCTCCCACCCTCACTCGCGCCCGGTGGGGGCCTGGTTTCTGGCAAGATCGGAAAGGGTCTCCTTTCCCAACCCCAGAGCGCTGTGACCGGATGGCTTTCTCTGGGCGAGGTGCCGTCCTGTGAAAGTGCTTTAAGTTCGTTAACTCAAGGAGGGGGTTATCGTGTTCATTTACACACGAGGAAACCCAGGAATAGAGGTCAAGTTCCTCTCCTATTTAGTAAATGGCAGCAGCCAAATACCAGGCATTAAATCATGTTAAGAGTTTGCTCTCTGGGAAAACTCGATTGGGAAGGGTAAGATCTTTTATTATGGTGGAGGTTTACCTTGATTAAAAGCTGTTTTGAGATGGAGGAAATGGGTCATCCCCAACTGATGGTCTCATGGGTCTTAGAGAGAGGTGTGCCCTGAGGGAATTCTACACTTGCCAGGAACCTTTATTGGCAGAGGGTTGCCCTGAGTGAGGGCTGTGTGACCGGGGAAGAAGGCTCGTTTCTTAGGCAGTCTGGTGAGCTGGCTGCCCTGAGTGGAAACAGGGGCAGAAATCATTGCCACGGAGCGCAGGAACAATGGTGCAAAGTTCGCTGCTGCCGGCTGTGGCTGCGGGCTGTGAGGCGGGAGGCCGGTCCGGCACGCAGGCCGGCCTGGCGGACAGAGTCCAGGGGAATCCCTGGTGCGGCGCCTGCTGGGGCGGCGGACAGGCCTTCCGGCCGGTCCCGTGAGTCGGGCCGCCGCGGGCGGCTCCGCACGGTTCAGCCTCCCGTGACTCACTCGCAAGGGGCGGGGGAAGGGGGCTTCCTGGAAGCCGTGACGCCCGGTTCCTCTCTGTAACCAGGGCTTCTGTCGCCTGTAAACAGAGGCTCGAGGACAACGGGAAAAGGCTGGAAGGGGAGGTGTCTGGCCCCCGCCTCCGGGCGAGGCCCCGAGTCCCTCCGCCGCTAGTGGGACAGGGAAGCAGGAGGGGGGCATCCTGGGGTCCTCAGGGCCCGGCGTGGCTCCCGGGGCGGGATTCCAGTTTCGATTCCCTGGAGACTGGGAGCACTTCCCAGCCCTGAGTCAGGCTGACCCCCTCCCCTCTTCCGTGTGCTGAGTCAACGGCAAGCCGGACCCCGGGGACAGGGGGCTCTCCAGGGGCTGCGGCCGTGCGGGGTTTGCACCGGCGGGGACGGGCCTCCTCCCGAAACGCCGAAGCCCAGGCCGGGCCCCTCCCGGCCCAGATCTAGGGGGCCAGGTCTCCCAGCACCTCCATTCTCAGACCCAGGAAAGCCGGCCCCTGGGCCAGTCCTGCGTCAGCTGCGAGCCCGAGCCCCCAGCCCCTTTCCTCGCACTAGGAAGCTCGGCTCCCACCCCCTCCGCTCGGTCCGGCCGAGGAGGAAGTTCGGGCGGGCTCCGCCCCACTCCCGTAGCCAGCGGGAAAGCCCGCTGCCCGGGGCCGGGAACCCCCTCTGGAATGAGGGGGGGAAGGGGATGGCCGGGGTACCCCGCGAGCACCGGGGGGCAGGTCTCAGGCCGGCTGCGGAGGGGAAAGGGGCGGAAACCAGAGAGGCTAAAAATACAGCGAGCACTTCCGGCCTGGGGGAGGGGAGTGGAGAGCAGTTTCCAGAAAAACAAGCGGGGACGGGAAACGCGGGGGTGTGAGAGCCGCGGGGAGTGCGCGGGCGAGCGGCCCTGCACTCGGCACGTGAGTGTGGGGCTGGTGTGCGCCCGGCCTGCCTGGTGGGCTGTGCAGATGCGTGGGGCCACCGGTGTGTGTGTGTGTGTGTGTGTGTGTGCATGTGTCGCTGTGAAGCGTGGGCGCTGCAGCTGTGAAGGTGTGCATCCTGGCTTGACTGGGTTTGTGAGACCTGGGCTGCCTGCGGTCACTTTACGGTGTGAAGCCCGTGTCTTCCCAGCCCATTTGACATGCCTGTGAGTAAATGTGCGAAACCGCCTAGACCTGTGATTGACTCCACCATGTTACTTTAACCATCTTGAGTATGTTCTCAACCCTCACTCCCTCACTGCCTTTGAGGTGGTATTCATGACAATGTGACACTTACCCTCTGGACACCTATGTTTAGCTCTGAACCACTGTGGGGTCTGGAGTGACTAAGTGTAACTCCTTGAGGGAGCCCAGTGAGGGTGTGACTGCCTTCTTGTACAATGAAGATCTGTGCACACAAGTACCTGTGAGATTAAAATGTTTATTTTCAAGTATCTGTGAGTTTATAGGCTCTTGTAGCAGTGTGAAGGCTCCTGCAGCTGTGTGTGTAGTGAATAATGTTATGTGTCTGTGTCCTTATTTGGGGGATGTTGCTGAGGACATGTGAGGCCACTGTCTGGATCTGGTTCCTCTGTGGCCAGTCACAAGGCAGTGAAACTGGTGAACTTTGGTTCATGACGTCTATAACGAACATGATGATGGGGAGGGAGCTGGCGCACACCCACTCCATTTTGCTGATTCTGGTGGCCTCTGCGGACCAACCAGGCACACAGGCACCCACTGCCACCTGGGAAACTCTCCCCGCCCTCCCCCCCAGCCAAGGCTGCTTTTGATAATGTTGACTGAGGGCAGGGCTGAGTCAGCCTGTCATGGGCAAAGTCTGTGATGGGGTGAGAGATAGCAGATAAAGTGGTGGTTAGAGGGTTGTTTATATACTTACATGGTTGAATTGTTCCTTTAGTCTGTTTGTGGGCTTGTGCTAAGACCATGAGTACACCATGATTATTACTGGCTGGAGTGAGTAAAGTCTCTATGTCCCCTGATGTTTTGCTGTGTGGCTGTGCAATTCATCTACCTTCCCTGAAGTGTGTGGCTGTGTACTAGGCTGTCCGATCTCCTTCTGGGTTGAATAATCGTCAAGATCTAAACCAAGGTCCTCCATAACCTGTCTTGGCTTCTATTCCAGCTCCTTCACTGTGGCCAAGGCCTCATTATTCCATAAACACACTTACTACATTCCTGCCTCAGGGCTTTTGCCCTAGCCATTCCATTCCCTCTTCTTGGAATGCTGCTTCCCTCAATGCCCTGATTTTCATAACTTATTCTCTCCTTCATATCCTGTCAAAGATAAAAAAAATCTTGTTATCTACTTAAATACATGGAACATCTATTTACAGATCATGATAATGAATACCTATCAACTACTACCCAACTTAAGCTCTCAAACTTTCTCAATAAAGTAGCAATTCACATGCAAATCTTACATGTTAGATTTATTTCTATCCCCCTCCCATCAAAATTCTCTCTCCACCTTTGACCCCAGTTTTCTGCTTTATTTTTCTTCTTGGGACTTCTATTTGATATACTGCTGACCCATGAACTGGGCAGGTGGATTTTTTGGATTACATATGGATTTTTTTTCAAAAAATACTATATTTTTCATTCCTTGTGATTTTCTTAGTTTCTTGCGCTGACTCCACCTCACAGGACAGTTGTACATGTCTCCTGAACGTGTGTGCTGTGACCTCCATCTCCCATGAATATACATCATGTACCCCAGGTTGGGAGCCAAGGGGCTCTTTGTGGTAAAAAATGCATTTCTGGTTGTACTCAGATAATTGTATTGTGTTAGGTGGGAAGATGACTTTGTTCTGGTGTCTAATAGAGATTGACTATGGTTAATTAGGTGTGTATGGGTGCCAAATTGACAAAGACTAGATTATGATGGTCAGTTTTACATGTCAATTTGGCTAGGCTACAGCCCCCTTTTTCAAACACTAATCTGGATGATGCTGTGAATTTTGCACATGTGATTAAAGCTTATAATCAGTTCACTTTAAGGAAACTATCCTAGGTGATCTGGGGAGTCAAATGTGGGGAGTTGATTCAGTCAAATAAATGGGCAGAAATGTGGTTCCTGTGGAATAAGTTCTGCCTGTGGACAGCAGCTTCAGCTCCTGACCCAGTGATCTGCTGCCCTTTCCAAGGGCCTGTTCCACCTGCCAACACCCGTACGGGTAAAGCATGGGTCTCCACGCTCCCGGGCTTTCCTTGCAGGTGCGGGGTCCCGAACAAGAGGCCTCTGGGCAGTAACATGGGAATCAGGGCACAGAGGTGTTGGGCGGGGCAGTTCCCCAACCAGGCTGAGTCACCGGAGCCTTTCACACCCTCCAACGAGGCCTGGGCTGGCAGCTCCACCCTGCACTTGCCCAGGCCTGAAGGCCATGGCTGAGCTCTCCAAATCTTGCTCTCAGAGAAGTGAGGAGCCTGGTAGGGCACTTCCTCCTTGAAGACCCCTCCCCAAGGCCTGCTTCCCAGAGCTGGGGCTCGGGCAAGGCACCTGGGTTCTTCCCCAGGACAGATGATTCACCCCTTCTGAGGCCTTTTCACTTCTCCTTTGGGCCTAAAAATATGGTGACCCAGGCATCCAGCTGGGCCAAGGCTTCACCACAGATTGCACAATGACCCCAGTTTAAATGATGCTGACGCAGGCCATGGGTACGGGTGGAGGCCTGAGTTGCTCCCCAACCAGGCATGCTGAGGTCAGGGCTTGGACCCCATTACTTCCCCTTTCCTGGGCCAAGGATCCTGGGGGTTGGGCTGACATGGGAGGTGCCGGGGATCCCTGGGCCTGGCTGTTAGCTCCTGGAAATGAAGCTCCTCCTTTTTGTATCCCAGTGGTTCTGGCTCCCAGAATCTGGTCTCCTTCATAGACACAGAGTTCCAGTGAGGAGTTGGGGGCAGAGGCCAGCAAAGGGGGACGAAGAGAGAGATGATTAGAGATGGGGAGACGCAGAACCACAGAGGCAGAGAGACAGACACATGGGCAAAGAGGTTGAAGGAGAGAGACAGTAGATACATGCAGCAGAGACACATAAGGGAACAGCTAGAAAAAGGAGCACGGAGACCACATCTATACTGGGACGGAATCAAGTAAGGACAGAGGGACAGGGGCCCAGTTAGGATTTCACACACAGGGCAGATAGTGGAAGCATCCCAGGAAGGGGTTTTCCACAGGCACAGTCCAAAGTCCACACTCCCTTGGGAGAGCAGGCCACCCACAGAGTGACTCCCCACCCCCTTTTTCTCGTGCACTGCCTGCTGGCCTCTGCTGCCCCCTGCTGGCTGCCACCCAAGAGCTCAGGCGGGAAGAAAAGTCAGAGACAAAGCTGCTTTGAGGCCACTCTTCATTCCTTCCCTGTTCCTCTCCCCCACAACTTGCCCACTTCCACCCCTGCCAGCTCACAAGGCACTCCCAGAGCCAGTAGGTGGTGCAGAAGTCTTCCCAGTAACCTTGTTGGCACAGTCCAGCAGAGCGGTGTGAATGTCCTTGGCACAGGCAATCTGGGCTTTGATCACTGCCAGGTACTGAGGATAGGGTAGGCTGTCAGGCTGTACTGCATCTGGCTTGGTTGCTGTGGGCACCAGCGTGGGAGAGTGCTTGGCGCTGTCGCAACTCTGAGACAGGCACTCATGTGCCAAGCGCTGTGGACAAGCAGGCAAGGTGCAGCATCAGCCTCATTCTGGGTCCTCCCAACCCTGCCCAAGAACCAGCCTGTGGAGCATGCAGGCTTCTCAACTCCTATGTACTTGCTCTACCCAAGCCTTAAATGCAGCACTTTGCATGGCCTGTCTCCTCTCATTCTTATGCCTCTTGGGGCTCTCTCATCCCCACATTGCTCAGTGCCCACCTCTGCACTGATGATGTACATGTATGCCCCAGCCTCCAGAGCTCTGATGCTCTCTCCTCAACCCCAAACTGCTCCTCTTCTGGGTGCCTGTCTAAAAATGACCCAACCACTCCAACTAGAACCCTGGGCTGCATCCTGGAGGCTCCTCTCTCACACCCTTCAGTTCCATGGCTGTACACAAAACTGAGTCTCTCACTTGCCCTTCGCCAGAGCCTTTTCCATTAAATCCCGACATGGCTGTCTCCCTGAAACCCCAGCCTCCACCCTTTGCCTCTTTAATCCATCCCTCATTTGGAAGCCAGAGGAATATTCTTTAAAAAGCAATGGGTCATGTTCTAAGAGGCTGCGATTTGATTCCCAGTCAGGGCACATGCCCAGGTTGTGGGCTTGATCCCCAGGAAGGTGCATGCAGAAGGCAGCTGATCAGTGTTTCTCTCTCTCTCCCTTCCTCCTTCTCTAAAGAGAAATAAAAACATAAAATAAAATGCCCTAGCCAGTTTGGCTCAGTGGATAGAGTGCCCGAGTTCGATTCCCGGTCAAGGGCAAGTGCCTCCGTTGCAGGCTCAATCCCTGGTCGGGTGTGTGCAGAAGGCAAACAATCTAAGTGTCTCTCTCACCTCTCACATCAATTTCTCTCTCTCTCTCTCTCTCCCCCTCCCATGTACTCTCTCTAAAAATCAATGTAAAAAAAAAAAATTCTTGGATGAGGATTAAAAAAACAACAAAAAGCAATGGGTCCATGTTCTTCCATGCTTGAAACCCTGGATGGCTTCCCAGCACCTTTAGAGCTATTTTTCAAAATTCGCCAGCCTCCCTTCCTTTCCTCAAGCTATATATATATTTAAATATTGCATAGGTCCTCCTTTTCCCCCATTAACCTCTTCCTACTGTCCCTGACTACCCCCCCCTCCCCGGGGCCATATTTTGCTTTCTTTTCTCTTAAACTCTAAGGGTCCCCATGAGCCTTGCTACTAGGGGTGCAGTGGGCTTTAAAGACTCACCTTTTGCCTCTTAACTTTCCTTTCTGAGTCCAGGCATCCCAGTCTAGGTTTACTCCCATTGCTATGATCTTGCCTCTTTTATCCTAAGTCCTTCCTTTGTTTTCACTCAAATTAATCTTGCCACTAGCACTTAAAAAATTCAAACCCCAGTGCCAAACACACCTCAGTCAGACTGTATTTCATGACATTCCTAAAGCAGAAACTGTTCCTTCTGGCTGGAATACCTTTCTATCACTACCAGTCTTCTCAAACTGACTTTAAAAACCTAGTGCAAAATAATGATTACGGCCAAGACCAGTTTGGCTCAGTGGATAGAGCGTTGGCCTGCGGACTGAAAGGTCCCGGGTTCGATTCTGGTCAAGGGCATGTACCTTGGTTGCGGGCACTAATCGATGATTCTCTCTCATTGATGTTTCTAACTCTCTATCCCTCTCTCTTCCTCTCTATAAAATATCAATAAAATATATTTTTAAAAAAATAATGATTACGGTGCTACTACAAAAACAAAGATGACAATACAGTACTACAGGAAACACTTGCCATGTGCCTAGTACATGCATGAGCTTGCTGAGTTTCTCCTGAAAACCCATTTTCCTAGGGAGGAACCCGGGGCTCAGGAGCAGAGGTTGGAGGTCCTCTGATTTCAGATGCTACTTGCCCTCTTCTCAATTCCTGCCCCTCTTCAATTTTTGTTACAGCCTCACCTCTGATGTGCTCTCTCCCAACAGCCTTCCCTGAGCCACTCCCTCCTGGAACCACCCCACGAAGGGTTACATGCCTTCTCTGAGCTTCCTCAGCCCTCGGAGCTCCCCTGATTTTAATTCTGACCTCCATGTCCCCACCCACATCTGAGCCCTGAACTCGGAAACCTAGGCTTCTCCCATCACAGCTCTTAGTACTCTGAGCCCTCCTTATTTGAGGACGTGTCACCTCACTGAACTGGAAGCTCTGTGGGGGCTAAGATCAGAGCAACACCGGCGCCCAACATCAACTGAAGCACAGGTTTGGCACACAGGAGGTGCTCACTGTGTGCTGTGCTGACAGAATTCCTGAAGACCCAGGGACTGAGTTAGGGTTGTGGTCACCCCGTCTAGGAAGCCCCTTACCAGGCAGAGCTCCAGCTGGTCACAGAGGGCGTAGAACTCCTCCAGACACTTGTCAAAGCGCTGGATGGGTCCGTCACTGCTTTTTCTATAGCGGGGAAAGGAGGAGGAGGAGGAATAATTTTCTGGGACATCAATGTCTACGCAATCATATATCCATCAGGAAGTCGGGCAAAGGCACAGGTTCCCGGAGGAAGGCACTAAGGGATTGGCAGTAGTAGCAGAGAGAGAAAGAGCAAGGTGGGAATTAGGGAACTGGGCTTGAAAATAGGAGGAAGGAAGGGAGAGTGGGCAGGGCCTGGGGAATGAGTTTCTAAGAATGGGGTGGACATAGGTGGAGATCCTGGGAAACGGGAATACACTTACTGTCCGTTGTCTATGTTAGTGTTCTGAATCAAGTTCTGGGCTGCAACTTTCATCAAAGTCTAGTTTAAAAAAAAAAAAAAAGATGCGGGAGGTGGAGAAACAGAAGGGGACACTTTCTCAGATCCATCTCAGGCCTCCCCTCCACTTGCCACTTCTCCTCCTGTAATTCCAGAGTAACTCCTGTTCATTAGAAATAAACACCTATATTTCCCCAGCGGCCCGCTCTCATCTGGGGTTCTCGTCAGTGGCCTCCCGACTTACCTTAGGGTTCTCCCTCACCCACCAATCACAATCAGAATCTCTCTGTACAAGCTGTCATTTCCCCAGGCCTTACGGCCAAAGCCCTGCTTCTCCTTTATACTCCCTCCCACTCGAGTTCTGGCCAGTCCCAGGCTCAACACTCGCATTGCTCCCACGAAGACCAAGTCTCACTCCTCTTCCCTTGCCCAGCTCTCCTTCTGCTCGCTGCCTGCCTCAGCAGCACTGCCGTCTGCCCCTCTGCCAGAGAACCAGACCCCGCTAGAGTCCAGCTCTCTCGGCGGATCACCTGCAGACTCTCCTTCAGCTGTGGGATGAGCATCTTATACCGCTGCACAGGATCGAAGTCTTGCTGCTGTTGCTGCAAGAGCCCGCCCTGGGCAGACCCCACCAGCTGGGTAGGTGGTTGCGGTTGCTGCTGGGTACCCAGGCCACCAGCTGAACCTGGACCCGACACACCGGAGGCAGAAGCCGCTGGACCCTGCGGCTGAGACGCAGCCATCTTTCTCACTTAGCGCGCCGGAAGTGCGTGTTCAGCTCTGTTTAGCGTCTTCCGCTCCAGGCCCGGCCCGCTAGTCAGCGCCACTCTAACCATCCAGCCAATGGGAGGGGAGAAGGCGCCTCCAACACCCGGTTCTCAAATCCTTCGTCCCAGACTAGATACCCACTCACCAACCACAAAAGCCTCTTCTCTCGCTCCGCCCCCTCCCCAGCTGCTGGCCAATCCGGGCGTGGGGTCCACCCGGACTCTGTTTCCCAGAAGCCTTCGCGGCCTGAGGCGATTTGTCGGGGCGCTTCGCCTGGCGGCAGTTGGTGGATCCGCAGCTGATGGTCGGCGGCTGCGCGTTTCCGGAGCCCCGGCTGGAGCTCTCCTCAGCCTCCCTCCTCCCGACGCTCCGCTCCCGGCCCGGGGCGCCTGCCCGAGCGCCGCCTCGGATCAGGTGTCCGTCGAAGGCGGCACTCCCCACCTTGTCTCCCCGCGGCTCGGCGAGGTCCGGACGGCTGCCGCCTCGTCGCCATGGCTCCCACCATCCAGACCCAGGCACAGCGGGAAGATGGCCACAGGTAGACGCTTCACCTTGCAGCTTTATCGTCTGTCCACGTTTCGGCGGGGCGGGGGGTCGGGCTCAGGGTCTCCGTGTAACGTCGCCAGCCCCTCAGGTCCGTGACGTCACGGAGCACTCAGTAGAGCGGGGTTGCTTTAGGGTTGGGGTGTTATCCCTTTCCCCCGTGGAGTTGGAGAATTAATGGGTTGGATAATTAATCTTGGGAGATTTTGTTCAGAAGGGCAATCCTCTTTTAAAAACTTGGAGGTGCCCCCTTCACGCTGCTGTCAATCCCGTCTTCACCTTTCTACCAATGTCTCTCTCTTGCCCACCAGGCCCAATTCCCACCGGACTCTGCCTGAGAGGTGAGCCCCTTTCTGTTTTCCTAAGAGGGTGGGCCAGGGGGTGGGAAACACAGGTGGGGCCAGTTTCCACCCCCAGCGTATCAGCGGTTTTTATTTCTTTATCCTCCATCCTCCTCCTCTTTGGTAACCATTAGCTTGTTCTATCCGTGGGTCTGTTTGTATTTTGTTTCATTTATTCATTTGTTTTGTGTGGGTTGTTTTTTTAGTGGAATCATGTGGTATTTGTTTCTCTATTTCATTTAGCATTAGCACCGTCTGGGTACATTCCTGTTGTTGCAAATGGCAATTTTTTATTCTGTCTTATTGCTGAATAACACACACACACACACACACAGAGAGAGAGAGAGAGAGAGAGAGAGAGAGAGAGAGAGAGAGAGAGAGAGATATTCTTTTTTTAAAAATATTTTATTGATTATTCACAGAGAGGAAGAGAGAGGGATAGAGAGTTAGAAACATCGATGAGAGAGAGTCATCGACCAGCTGCCTCTTGCACACCCCTACTGGGGATGTGCCCACAACCAAGGTACATGCCCTTGACCGGAATCGAACCCGGGACCTTTTAGTCCGCAGGCCAACGCTCTATCCACTGAGCCAAACCGGTGCCGGCGAGAGAGATTCTTGATCCACTGTTATTGATGGACATCTAGGTTGCTTCTGTATCTTGGCTATTACTAATGATGCTGCAGTGAACATAGGGTTTAATTTTTTGAGGAATCTTTGTACTGTTTTCCATAGTGGCCTCACTGATTTACAATCCCACCAACAGTGTACAAGAGTCCCCTTTTCTCTATATCCTCACCAGCACTTGTTCATTCTGACAGGTGGTGACAATCATAGTGGTTTTATTTACTTTTTTTATTTTTTATTTTTTTAAACATATTTTATTGATTTTGTACAGAGAGGAAGGGAGAGAGATAGAAAGCCAGAAACATCGATGAGAGAGAGTCATCGACCAGCTGCCTCCTGCACACCCCGCACTGGGGACGTGCCCGCAACCAAGGTACATGCCCTTGACCGGAATCGAACCCGGGACCCTTCAGTCCCCAAGCCGACGCTCTATCCATTGAGCCAAACCGGTTCTGGCCATAGTGGTTTTAATTTGCATTTCCCTGATGATATTGAGCATCTTTTCATATGTCTGTTGGCCATTTGTCCTCTTTGAAAAATGTCTATTCAGATCCTCTCCCTATCTATAAATGGACTGTGTGTGTGTGTGTGTGTGTTTGATGTTAAGTTGTATGAGTTCCTGATATATTTTGGATATTAACCCATTATTTGAAATGTCATTTGTGGATGTCTTATCTCAGTAGGTTGCATTTTCATTTTGTAGATGGTTTCTTTTGTTGTGCTAAATCTTTTTAGTTTGATATAGTCCCATTTGCTTATTTTAATTTGTTTTTAAAATTTATTATTATTTCTCAATATATTTTATTGATTTTGGAAAGGAAGGGAGAGAGGGAGAGAGATAGAAACATCAATGAGAGGGAATCATTGGTACACTTCCTACTGGGGATGGAGCCTGCAACCTGGGCATTTGCCCTTGATCAGAATTGAACCTGGAATTCTTCAGTGCGCAGGTCGATGCTTTATCCACTGAGCCAAACCAACTAGAGCTACGTTTTGGCTTTTTAAAATATATTTTTATTGATTTCAGGAAGGGAGAGGAGGGAGGGAGAGGAGGGAGGGAGGGAGGGAGGGAGGGAGGGAGGGAGGGAGGGAGGGGGAGAGAGAGAGAGAGAGAGGAAAGGAGAGAGAGAGAGTTAGAAACATCGATGAAAGCCGAGACCGGTTTAGCTCAATGGATAGAGCGTCGGCTTGGGGACTGAGGGGACCCTGGTTCGGTTCCGGTCAAGGGCATGTGCCTTGGTTGCGGGCATATCCCCAGTAGGGGGTGTGCAAAAGGCAGCTGATCAATGACTCTCTCTCATCAATGTTTCTGGCTCTGTTATCTCTCTCCCTTCCTCTCTGTACAAAAAACAAAACAAAACATCGATGAGAAAGAAACATCAATCAGCTGCCTCCTGCATCCCCCCCACTGGGGATGTGCCTGCAACCAATGTATGTGCCCTTGACTGAAATCGAACCTGGGACCCTCCAGTCTGCAGGCCAACACTTTATCCACTGAGCCAAACCGGTTTGGCTGCCATTGGTGTTTTAATAAGGATAACATGGACTCTGTAATTTGCTTTAGGTAGTAAGGACATTTTAATAATATTAATCCTTCTAATTCATGAGCAAGGTATGTCTTCCATTTATTCACATTTTCAATTTATTTCTTCAATGACTTACAGTTTTCTGAGTACAGGTCTTTTACGCCTTTGGTTAAATTTATTTCTAGGTGTTTTATGCTTTTTGATGCAATTGTAAATGGGATTTTCTTCATTTCTCCTTATCATTTGTTTTTAGTATGTAGAAATGCAACAGATTTCTGTATATTGATTCTTTATCCTGCAACTTTACTGAATTCATTCTGATTTCTTTTTGCCGAGATTATTTAGGGTTTTTTACATATTGTATGTTTTCTGCAAATAATAGTATTACTTCTTCCTTTCTAATTTGGATGCCTTTTTCTTTTTTTTCCTTGTCTGATTGCTGTGGCTAGGATTTCCAATACTTGAATAGAAGTGGTGGCAATGAGTATCCTTGTCTTATTTCTGATCTTAGAGAAAAAACTTTCAACTTTTAACCACTGAGTATATTAGGTGGGTTTGGGATATATAAGCCTTTATTATGTTATGTTTCTTCCATATGCACTTTGTTGAGAGTTTTTATAAAATGATGCTTTTTAAAAATTATATGTTTATTGATTTTTAGAGAGAGAGGAAGGAAACATAAATGAGAGAGATACATTTATTGGCTGCCTCCTGCACACCCCTATCTGATTGCTGTGGCTAGGATTTATTACATAAGTTTGTCTTCTTTAGTGTAGATTAGCCCACAACCTGGCCTTCACTGGGAATTGAACTGGTGACCTTTTGATTATTGGATCGATGTTCGACCACTGATCCACCAAAATGATGCTTACTTTTATCAAACGTTTTCTCTGAATCTATTGAGATGACCTATGGTTTTTATTCTTTTTTATTTTTTTAAAAATATATTTTTATTGATTTTTTGCAGAGAGAAAGGGAGAGAGATAGAGAGCTAGAAACGTCGATGAGAGAGAAACATCATCCAGCTGCCTCTTGCATACCCCTACTGGGGATGTGCCCGCAACCAATGTACATGCCCCTGACCGGAATCGAACCTGGGACCTTTTAATCCACAGACCGATGCTCTACCACTGAGCCAAACCGGTTTCAGCTGGTTTTTATTCTTTTTTCATTTATTTTATTTTTTTATATTATTTCATTAGATTTTTAGAAATATATTTTATTGATTTTTTTTTTACAGAGAGGAAGAGAGAGAGAGAGCTAAAAACGTCGATGAGAGAAAAACATCGACCAGCTGCCTCTTGCACACCCCCTTCCGGGGATGTGCCCGCAACCAAGGTACATACCCTTTTTTTAATTTTAATTTATTTTTTAAAAATAAATTTTTATTGTTCATATTATTACAAATGTTCCTTCCCCCCCCCCCTTTGCTCTCCTCCACCAGCTTCCCACCCCACCCTCTGCCCTTTCCCCACCCCCCATTGTCCTCATCCATAGGTGCACAGTTCAGTTCAGTCTCTTCCCACATCCCCCTCTCCCCTTTCCCCCAAGAATCGTCAGTTCACTCCCCTTCCATACCTCTGATTCTATTATATTCAACAGTTAATATTATTCATCAGTTTTTTGTTTTTTTTTAATTTCCTTGGTTTTTAGATTCACTTGTTGATAGTTACGTATTTGTTGTTCATAATTTTTATCTTTATTTTCTCTTCTGAAAGAACCCCCTTCAGCAATTCATATAATTCTGGTTTGGTGTTGATGAACTTTAGCTTTCTTTTATTAGTGAAGCTCTTTATCTGACCTTCAATTCTGAGTGATAGTTTTGCTGGGTAGATTATCTTTGGCTGTAGGTTCTTACTATTCATCACCTTGAATATTTCTTGCCATTCCCGTCTGGCCTGCATGGTTTCTGTTGAGAAATCAGCTGACAGTCGTATGGTTGCTCCTTTATAGGTAACTGCCTTCTTTTTTCTTGCTGCTTTTAATAGTCTCTCTTTGTCTTTTGCTCTTGGAATTTTAATTATGATTTGTCTTGGTGTGGTCCTTTTTGGATTCCTTTTGTTTGGAGTTCTGTGCACTTCCTGGACTCGTAAGTCTAATTCTTTCACCAGGTGGGGAAGTTTTCTGTCACTATTTCTTTCAGTATGTTTTTGATATCTTGCTCTCTCTCATCTTCTGGGACCCTCATGATTCTGATGTTGGTTCGCTTGAAGTTGTCCCAGAGGTTTCTTACATTATCTTCAATTTTCTGGATTCTCTTGCCTTCTAGCTTCTGTGGAGGAGTGTCTTCTGGCTCTTTATGTTTAAAATCTTTGACTTGATTCTTGCGATCTTCCATTCTGTTTTTAGGACTCTATAAAATATTTATTATTTCAGTCAATGTATTCTTTATTTCTTGTTTTTTGGTTTTTAAAAAAATATATTTTATTGATTTTTCACAGAGAGGAAGAGAGAGGGATAGAGAGTTAGAAACATCGATGAGAGAGAATCATCGATTAGCTGCCTCTTGCACACCCCCTACTGGGGATGTGCCCGCAACCACGGTATATGCCTTTGACCGGAATCGAACCCGGGACCTTTCAGTCCGCAGGCCGACGCTCTACCACTGAGCCAAACCGGTCCCGGCTCTTTATTTCTTGTTGATCCCTTATCATTTCTTGTTGATTCCTTATTAATTCTAGTTGATCTCTTTTTATATCTTCATAGGTCTTATTCATCTTTTCTAGGAAATTCTTGAAAAACCTTATAAGCGTAGATTTGAACTCTATGTCCAGTCACTTTTTGTCCTCCATTTCTTTTGCTTGTGATCTATTTCGTTGTCGCATTTCGCAGCTACAGATGGGGCGG